GCGTTTAAAGTCTGAAAAAATGCACAGCTTACAGAAAAACATGAGATCACTTAGCTACAGTACCTCGCTGGCAGCGTAGGTGTACAGGACTTTATTCTTAATGACAAACCACAGCCTCTTCCACTGCTTCTTGTTGCCTTTTGACCTGTTTAGGTAGCCACTCATGGAGGAATTCTCAGTGTTGGCAGACACCTGGTAAACATGCAAAAAATGAATCCTTGCAATGCCAAAGATGCAAAATAACATCACACATTTGACATAAATTTAGCCTGTTTACCTCTTTCAGTGCAGCAGGAATCTTCTTCTGTTTCCTGGTGAAGGAGAAAGCTCCAGATTTGATGGGAGAAATTGATGTTGAAGCACAGCGGTCACCTAAAATATGATAACATGTTACTAAATAGGACAGAAGACAGGAGTTATACCAAAAAGTAAATAACCTACAGTGTAGAAAATTTAGTTTTATCCTTAATTGATTAAGACTTCAGGCTGTGAAATTGTCCATAAGTGTACGTATCAAATTATAAAACCATCAGATTTCAGTCCTTTGGCGCTTTTTGCCTTTTCACATCCTTCCAAACACTTAAACTGAGACATCCTGCTGCTGGTTATCCAGCGCAACCTTCCTCTGTACTCACTGTTCTCCTGTAGCTTTGCAAAGCAGTGATCACACACACGAGCTGGTTGGTTCTTTAAGTACTCCAGGTAGTATTTGTTGGCAGAGCACGCCTGGCACACCACCTGTTGGACGCACACAGAGCCGCCATGAGAAGAGGGTCATGTAATAGAAAATGTGACGGAGTGGCCGTTGTTATAGCGATACAGACCTTTCCACAGGCGCGACAATGGTGCCTCCTCCAAGTGAGGGTGAACTCGCAGGTGCAGATCATACACATGGTGGCCCTCAGGTCTGGGATCCAGATGGGAGCCTTTGAGCCTAACGGGGCACCGCTATCAACGACCCCCTCGGACTGCGGCGAGAGAGGCTTCGGGTTAATATGGATGCACACCAGGTGAAATTATCACACTGTCCACCCACACAGACGTCATGTTCTTACCTCCTCCTGACTTCGGCTCGATATGAAGGTGATTTTCTTCTTTGTGTAGTCGTCTATGGCCTTGGCGATGGCCTCGAGCCACTCATCTTTCTCGGTAGCTGAGCTGTGAACACAAGCAGCACTCGTGAGTTTACAGCCCACGATGGGTGCACAAAATCTGATGCAGTACTCGCCCGAGTGCTTACCTCGCTGACAGGATGAAAGAGCGTTCAACGCTCTCGATGTTCAGCTCGTTCTGATAGGCCTCCTGGCTGGGCTTACTCACCTGCAAAAATTCAAAAGCAAACTGAAGCTGCTGCTGCACACACAACAGGCAGTATTTCAGTGTAGATGCAACACGAGTAAATGTGTAGTAGAGGGTTTAAAAACAAAACCCCCAGCAGATCCCCCGACTGCAGCTTTTAGGACTACAATTTTATTTGCTTTCAGTTTTGTTGCTGAAACGACAGTTTCATAAACTTTATATAATCGTTCACTGAAGATTTTACTCAGACTTTGACTTTTTAAAAAATCAGACTCGGATTTTGCTCAGGCTGTTGTTAGCTCATGAACACTGAAGGGAGAGCTCCATGGAATGGGTTTCAATGGCCGAGCGGCCTCATTCAAGTCATACATCACCAAGAATAATGCAAAGAGTCAGATGCAGTGGTGTAAAGCACATCGCCACTGGATTCTAGAGCGGTGGAGACGTGTGCTCGGGAGTGATAAATGATCTGATGGATGAGTCTTGGCAGTCGGCAGGAGAATGATACTTTTCTGACTGCATTTTGCCAAGTGTTAAGTTTGGTGGATGGGGGATTATGATGTGGGTTGTGGGTATGATGTTGTTTTTTAGGAGTTTGGCTCGGCCCCTTAGTTCCAGTGAAAGGAACTTGTAATGCATCAGCATACCAATCCAATCCAATCCAACTTTATTTACAAAGCACTTTAAAGCCAACACAGGACCAAAGTGCTTACAGTAAGTTAGTTAAGAACAATAGATAAAACGAAACGGCAAAAAGTAAAAACTAATAAAATAAAAATCAAATAATAATTCATAATTAAAATGAATACCAAGACAATTCTTGCTCCCAACTTTGTGGGAACAGTTTGGGGATGGCCCCTTCCTGTTCCAACATGACTGCGCACCCTTGCACAAAGCAGGTCCATAAAGACATGGATGAGTGAGTTTGGTGTAGAAGTAGTTGACTGGCTTGCACAGAGACCGTTCCTAAACCCAACAGAACACCTTTGGGATGAAATAAAACGGATAATGCGAGCCAAACTTTCTCATCCAACATCAACGTCTGATCTCAGAACTCACAAACACTCCTAAAGCTTCTGAAAAACCTTCCCAGAAGAGTTGAAGCTGTTATAGACGCATCATATTACATCCTATTGCAAGTGCCTTGAATAAAAAGCAAAGACCTTATATTTCAGTTGTGGCAAATTCAAAACCTGCAAGTCCCACCACACCTCTTATGCTCAATTGGCCCGCACATCACTTCCAGTTCACAATAATGTTTGATTGGCCTAGGTGTAAACATGGTTTTCAGCTGGTCTTGGATCTGCTGGTGGATCTCTAAGTAATAAAGTCAGCAATGAGAAAGTTAAGAAAGACAAGAAACCACCACCGTCTCTAACCTTCATCCCAGCCAGAGAAAGGACACTGTTGAGTTTATACTGGGCAGACTGGACTGGAGTGGTGTACATGAGCGCATCATTAAACTGAAAAAACAATCAGAAACAATAAAATGAGGCAGGCAGTGTGAGTGTAATGGTGAAGATTGTGTTGAATTCACTGGCTGCTCACCAGGAAGAACATCCGTGGCTGCATGACTTTCCTGGACAGCTTCATCAGCGTGCCCTCCTTCAGAAACACCTGCAAACACGGATACATTATAAGGTCACACATAATCCACAGCGGTGTAATTATCTCTGCACACATACAGCATTTATGACAACCTAACCACAGTTTACCCTCACTGAGAACATGCAGTGTAATAGTCAAGCATACATGATTTCAGCTGCAAGTTAGCGTGGAGACATGATGCTCTAATTTTTACGGAAGAGGATAAGGGGTGGGCACATCTTTTTTTTTCTTCTTTTCCAGAATTCTGAGATTCTCCATAAATTTTGCTTACCGCTGTTTGTGTTACTTATTTGTGTTGCTGTTGCTTAAACAATCTCCCTCTGTCAGACCACTCTGTTAAGGCTGTTGGCAAAAAAATAACATTTTGAGTGACATACCCTGCCCGGCTGAACGATCTCATGGTGCCCAGTGAGGCTGTACTGAATCTGCATCAGCTTCTGAAAGTTATCCTGCAAAAACAAACCACCAAACACCTCAAGTGGCTTTCCATCACTGCAAAAACGTTGAAAGGCTTTAAAGGGAATCAGGTGTTACCCCTTGCTTCATGATGTCATTCGCATGGTTGGCCACCTCCTTCACGATACTGAGGGCGGCTGCGTGGACATCAAAGATAAAGCATCAATGTTAAAGTGCCCAGCACAAAGGTGGAAACAGGAAGCAGTGAGGGATGTCCTTTATCTAACCTTGTGTGTCTTTGTAATCTTCAGAGTCCTCTGGAAGGTTCTTCAGGTAATCTAGGGAATAAAAACAGGGGGTCAGATTACAGACCTTCAGCTCATCAAAGATATACAACCATAGCTTTATTTTGTTGTGAAGAACTTTTCTTCTTCTTTTTTCTAGACTCTAGCTTCATTTTTGGTTTAGTTTAGACTTAAAGTCCCAGAACATTCATGAAAGAAAAAAAGTTTTGTACTTTTTGTCTGAAACATTTTTTTCCCTCTTTGATATCAGAAGGATTTAGCTCAGTGTGCTGACAGCTTCTTATTTTCCTCAAAGTAATAAAGTAAATAATTGTAACTTTGTTCTGCAGAGAACAGGCTCTCCTTCGATCATCGTATTTGTCCACTGGGTGGCAGTGCACTCCCAAAACACCAGGACAGTTAAAACCTGACTTTACTCCAGCTTTCGTTCTCGTGCTGCCAATAAAAAGATTCAATAAAGTTTTGACCTGCAGCGTGTTGGAGCAGTGAATACGCCTCTCTGAGTTTGTACCTGTGAGCAACAGCTGGTACTGAGGGATCCTCTGCACTGGTTTCAGCAGGTAGTGTTTCAGAGCCAAGCTGGCACACCTTGGGCTCATCTGAGACAAAACAAGAGCCGAGTCACTCTAAATGCTGCTGCAAAACCCAAACAGATGCACAGACACAGCAAATCCCAATTATCCCACAGATATGAGAGGTTTTAGATATTATCTGAAGACCTTTATTATTATGGCTATGATGGTGCAGAGGCTTCTGATAATGTTTTTCTTTTCATTTAAATTCTTCACTGAAGTCCTGGCTGGAAAAAAGTTTGGATCTCTACCTCAAACTCTCGGACAACGGCTGCAAACGCGGGGTTCTTCCTGCACTGCTCGTCCAGCAGAGCCACGTTGTTGTCAAACTGGCGGATGTAGGTGGAGTACATCTTCAGGTAAGGACCTTTCTGTACGAAAATGTCTGACAGCCTCTGATGGTCGCTCCTGTAACCAGATGGACATAAAGTTTCCTGAAGTCAATGAAACAGCTCTCATATATTAAAGCAGAAAAAAAAAAAACTTCAGTTGGAAATCATCATGGGGAAAAACATCCAACTACAGAGAAGCAATCGTGTTGCATTTAATTTAACGTGTCCAAGTACTTTACTCGGCAGGAGTAAAATCAAGGGGCACTTCACTGACTCTCATGTTTAACAGTTTTTATGACACATGAATTGTGATAAATATAAAAAACTGTAACTCTAAATAAGCAACTAAAAGTCAGGATGTGTCAGCCTCTGTTGTTACTAGTCTAACTTGCCTGGAAGTTCAGTGTTAAATTCCTGGAATATTCATATTATAACAGTTTAATTCAATTTTTGCCATTCTGGTTATCTTTCCTACATGTTCAGAGCGCTGTCTTAAGATGTAGAAACACAAAGATACAACAGAAACCTTCAGGACTTAATCTAATGTCTGAATTTTAACCATACAGAGTGCAGCTGCTGGACCAAAACTAGGAAAGTAGAGTATCACGTGTCATTATGAGTATTTCTGCACTATATTTATTTTAGGATAAGTTTTAAAATGCTCATATTTTGAGTCTATAGCTGTTGTCAAACAGGCACAGCAGCCCTGAACTTTTCTCAGTGGATGTTTCCGGAGCAAGCTGCATGTGAGAAGGCCAGTGTCTGACTCAGCAGGACTGGACATTAAACAGTCTCATAGCGCCCGAGAACAAAGAGTGTGTGAGGCAACACTGCCTAATCCAGTGTGCTGACTTTAGTGT